TCCATTAATGTGTCAAATATTCTTGCTTTTTAATTGATTACTTTATTATTATTCAAAAAGCTTAGCCAAACCCCCCTCCAACTACAGCCTGACAGTAATGCCAAGAAAGCGAAATCCTTCACTTGGACGTGCTACTACTACAGCCAAACACATGAAAGCACGAAGAAGAAACTTAAATTAGACTGACACAAAATGCTATTTGTACAGCAAATGCAAGGCCAGCAGAAACTTATGAGCAACAGTTAACTAGACAAGGAAGGAACACTGCCAGAACTCCTACTACTCAAGCTGTCGAAACTGAGGGACAAAGACCAATTCTATATAGTCTTTTTGAACGTTAGTTTTCAGCCTTGGCACGGCTGCTAGCAGAAGTCTTTGTTGAATTTCTTCTCCTTCCAATGCATGTTGTTCATTCGATGTAGTTTGAGCAAAAGCTGTCAACAAAGCATTTCTCCTCAACAATTTCCAAAGATCGATTGCGATTAATGTACTCTTCGATTGCTGAAATTTTTTTGTATCTTCTGTGCTTCTGTAAAAAACAACTTTCTCCTGTTATAAATGTTTTCACACTTCATGTCATTATAATTTTTCACCATATAGATAAGAGACACTAAAGAAAAATCTTTATTTTAACTTTACAGATTAGATCAGGTTCATGATCTTTTTTTTAATAAACCCAGGCAACGCCGGGTAATGCTGCTAGTAATAATAATAAACTTCAAACCTTATTTTGTACAAAATGGTCACTATATACAAATTAATGGACTTTAAACCTTTACATATTCTAAAATGGTTATTTATGTAAGACTCGGTATTGTCTCTCTATCAGAGTATGTCTTAAGCTTAGATGAATGCTAATTTCTGAATATTAAACTTTTTTCTTATCAAACCTTTTTAGTATTAAGGATCCTGAAATAGTGAAGTTTTGGTTAGGTTAAGTATCAATTATCATCCACCAAGAATCAGTATTTCATATTGCTTCGTGTTTCCTTATGCCATACACTTTTCTTCATATTTTATTTTTTTTACTGTTTGCTGATAGGTTTTACCCACACAGAACACCATTTTAAAATATAAATATTTTTTTCAACAGATCATTCCTCCTACATTCTCTTTTTTTCTATCTGTTCCACCTGTGCACATTTCTATCCATTAATATGTGTCCCTGTTTCTATTATGTCAGGCATGAAGTGTGCCTCAGAGAGAGAGAGAAATCTATTTATGATTTTTTTCAAATGATCATACCCCCCTCTCTTGCTTCATATAGCAACCCAGTTTAGAACAGACTTGAATCAATGGAATTGGGTTTAGAAGTCTGAGCCAATTAATATTCTCTCAACTGTCCTCCTCTTTCTATTGATCCAGAATCATTATCATTAGTCAAGTCTACAGTAACAAGAGTGCAAGTGAGAGTTAGAACTACTTCATTCCTAAACCAGCTGTTGTCATTTTGTCAATACACCTGCTCATATATTTATCACAATAGACAAAATACACACCTGTATTATCTGTGGTACTTGTCACTATACTAGGGACCTTCCAGTGTTATAGAAAAACAAAAGTTTCCTCAGATCCTCTTGTGATAAAAGTTCAAGGAAAAAAAGTCATGAGATCAGATCAAATTTTAGTCTTTTGGTCAATAGACTAAAATTCAACAAATTATTTTACTCATTTTATAAATACTGAAATGTTATAATATTGATTAACTTGATTACAAGATCAAGTTAATCATTTTTCTAAATTTATTAAATTAAAATGTAAGTTTGACTAGATATGTAATTGTTTCACTTTGATGTTAATTTTTAATGCTATTTCAATCTTTGAACTTTGAAATAATTAATCTAATATATAAGGATCATAGTATGTGTGTGTGTGTGTGTGTGTGCGCGCAGGCACAAATATTGCATATCAAATGAATGTGATTTTTATCACTTCTATCTCCTAGCATGTGTCTTATATCTTCATGGTTCTTGCTTAATAGACATAATTGAATTTGTATATTCTGGTTTTAAAATTATATTTTTTTAAATGAGTGTGTTATTCATTTCCATTTTTTACCTTGATAAACAGTTCTTTTAATGATGAATAAAGCCATTTTCTGCTCTGAAAAAAGTAGCCATCTTAACATTTAAGATCACATTTTGGAATTAAAGTGAAATAAACAATACTGAAATTTCTAATAGTATATTTTGAAAATGTAACAAATGTTATAAATTATAATATAACATGCCATTTATGAAATAAACAATTACCAAAATGTTTGAAATTGTCAAACATTTGACTATGGCAGTTCCACTAATACCATTCTAATGCATATGTAAATCCATCAAAGAAACAGCTGAATAGTACAGTGGAATAAAGGAAAGATATTTGGCTCATTCAATGTGAGACATCATTCTTAGTATTTATATAATTAAAATAAAAAAAGTATATTTGTAATAACCTATCACAGTATGATGTAATCTAAAATTTTATGAAGAATAATCAAGTAATTTAGAAATTTTTGTATTTGAAAGAAATATGAGCTCATGACTAGCTTAGGTATAAAAAAAAAAACTTATTCCATATAATCACTCTCACCCTCAAGGGCAGCCCCTGAAGTGACTGCAGGTCCAGATCAGGTTATTCTTGTTCATGTTGACTACCAGTCTCCACAATGGTAGCTTTCAACAAATCCTTGGTGTATTGTGGAGGCTGCTGGTTGATCTTTCTCTCTCTCTATACACACTGTAGTCTATCTATCTATCTATCTACACACACACACACACACACAGTAGTCCACCACTTTTAGGCAAACCAGTTTACCGCGGTTGGTAGGAGACCCTAAGATTTTGCTCTTGTACCCTCAATATCGCTCACTTTCTTGGAAATTCCATCCTATTTTATCAATTTCTGGGCCATCTTCTTCATGATAGACAGAACAAACAGCAATCCTCAGATGGGTCCTAATTTATTTTAAAGAGTTCCTATAATATCGGACTAATTAACAGGAATTCAATCACTGCAATCAGACACCACAGATGGGATATAAATAGGAGTACTTTTCTCTGGTTGATCATGTTCAATTTGACTGTCTAACAGTAGACATCAAGAATCTCTCATAAATAAACAAATATAAATAGCATGTAGTAGTTAGGGGTCACAATCGCAAATTGCAAGTACTTTTGAGGACAGTTAAAATTTATTGTATAAAAAATCTCCTGTAAAACACTGAAATAAGTTGAAATTTTGAGTAATTTGCTTTTTAAGCACCCATGCTAAGTATCTAATAAAAATTTCCTGATTTGATTGCACGCAAAATATAAAGTAATCATGTGTAATTATAACCAATACAATTGGATTAGGCATAAAACAGCTGAGATGTTAAAATTTTGAAAAATTTGGGCTGTTTGATCATGAAAATCATGGTAAAATGTGTGAAAAAAGGTGTGTAATTATTTAAACAAATTACAACCCATTTGATGACCACTGTTTATTCTGTCTATCATGAAGAAGATGGCCCTGAATTTCTAAAAAAGTGAGTGATATTGAGTGTACCAGATCAAAATCTTTGGGTCCACCACATACCCATGGTACACTGGATACCATAGTAAACTGATTCACCTAATAGCAGTGGACTACTGTGTGTGTGTGTATATATATATATATATATATATATATATATATATATATATATATATATATATATAGTAGGAAAATTATATATATCAAGAACAATGTTTGGAAAATTACTATACCTGTGGTTATATGCTTTTTATTTAGAGCTCTTTTTCTTTTCTTTTTTTTTCTTTTTTTTTTGACATTCAAGAAAAACAAAATACCAAGACATGATTATTAGACACTAGTTTATTGATTCTGTGAGAAAAATAATGGTAATAGAATAATGATATTGCAAATTTTAAAATATTCTTGTATCATATCTATGAGAAAACACTGAGTCATAAGTAATTTTGCATTGGTTGTTATATTTTCTGCATGACTATTCTAAGTTTTCTATCTGTGCAAATAAGCATTGTCACATCTAAGAATCTTTCTTTTTAAATCATTAATAAAAGTAAAAATATTCAAAGAAAACTAATCTGAAACAAAAGAAGAAAAAAACAATATATTAACAATCTGTTGTTCCCTATTTACTGCAAATGAGATAATTTCTTATTATTGGTATTGAGTAATGCTTCCTGTTATTATAACTTTGGAATATTTTATTAATAAGAAGGGGAAATCAGGTTACTGTTGTATCCTTAAAAAGGTTACAAACAGAGGAAGGTGGTACTCAAGTGAAGGAACACCAACACATGTGTAGATGAAAGAAGAGAGGTTTATTGTAAAAGAGAATATACTACTGAAAGACAGGGTACTGGGTGGCAGGCTAGTAATTCCCATAGCAAACACCCAGGTATATCCTGTGCTCACTATATATAGCTACTGATATAGTCAGTCCACATAGGCAATAGGGAGTGTGGGACATTCCATTACAACAGTTACATAACCAATAAATATTTAAAGTTACATTGTGTTTTATATTATAGTTGATGATGATGGTTATTATTAGTAGTAGTATCATCACCAGCACCACCACTTCCTCCTCCTCCTTTGAGAGAAATTGTTGTAGTTCACTTTAAAGTTCCTTAATAGCTTAAGGCAACTGAAACTGTTACAATCTGCTCTTGTCTTAAACTGACAACATTAAGAACACTAGTTATTTTTGATAATTTATTCATATGATTATCAAATAAATAATTAAAAACAAAGTTATTTGATCAATCTCCTTTTGAGACAGAGCTTACATCCTTGGAATGGTACACTGCAAGATCTTGCAAGACCACTTCTACCAGTTCCATTTTCTAATGTTGTCTAGAAGAAACAAAATGTTCTGGCTTAATCACAAATGAATAGCAATCAGTAAAAGATTTTTCTCCTCATTAAAATTCATCCTCAGAATTGTTAATCTTTTTTTGTGACTTTTAATTAAATATTAAATGCTTTCTTTTCTTTTACAGCTCTTTCCCAAGAAGAAAATGCCACTGGACGTTTTCTCAAATCCCAAAGCTCAATTGACAAGACAAGGGCTGGCAAAATGATGGCAGCTGTAGGGAAGTCCCAAAGTTTTGCAGCTCAGCAAAGGTTTGAAATGATCTTATTAATCATAGTCACTTACAAGATAACCCAATATTTCTAATTTTCTTGTTCAGACATTTTTATAAATTTATCAACAAAATAATTTGTTTTTGTATTTATTTCTTTATAAAATGGTAAATGATAAATATTATATTGTAGTTGGTTCTTATATTTTTATAATCTTCTAAATAAGTAATATAATAAATAAAGGCACCAATATTCAGAGAATGTAAAAATAATTACCTGGTTACTTATTTTAGTGCATAAATTTACTTACAATTATTGCCATGTGATGCAAACAATAGTCGGTGCATTATATAAACAAAGTAGCTGTAAATAATCAACAGTTCCTTTTTATAATCATCTGTTACTTATTGCCAAGACTGTTTTTACATTTACATAAGTAATAAAGTAATCATTCTAAGTAACACAATTAAATGAAATAAGTGCTGTGTAATTTGTTGCGATAGTGTTTAATATTTTTGCTGTCAATTCTCAAGAACAAAGAAAATGTATAAATCCATTTTCATATGTTTCAATTTTATGAAAATTCTAAATATATCTTTTTAAAATAAACATTACCGAGGGAATATAAAATAATAGTGGGTCAAGAGAAAAACTGTTTTTTTGACACACCATTTTTTGTGAGTATGAAGGTTAAACTTTGCCAATAATTATACTAGATTGGATTTATAAATTATGTGATATCAAAAGATATCCTAATTCAATTTATTGTACTGGAACTGAAAATCTTAAATCTATCTTTAAGTCTCTTTAATTACAATAATTTTAAACTTTTAATCCATTGCTATGTGTTTTCTCATAGATATGATACAAGAATATTTTAAAATTTGCAATGTGTATATCATTGTTTTTGACATGATTCCATAAAGGACCTTTTCCTTTCATTATTCATTTGTACATCTCTGAAGTCTGTTTTTTTTTTTTTTTTTTAAATTTTGTAGTCTTTTTAATGGTGATTTGTATCATTTCTTGTATTTTAGACTGGCACTGCGTGTACCATTAGTTCGGCTCTACCAGGAGGTGGAAACCTTCCGTTACCGAGCCATTTCAGACACTTTGATGACTATTAATCGGATGGAAGGGGCACGAACAGAATATAGAGGGGCACTTCTTTGGATGAAGGCGGTTTCTGAAGAATTAGATCCTGATACTTACAAGCAGTTGGAAAAATTCAGAAAAGTATACACACACTTATTTTGAAATTTAATTTTAGTTAACCAAATTAAAATTTCTTCATTTACCTCAAGAATATTTTTGCTTTTGTTTATTTTACAGGAAACATGCTTCTAATAATTTTATAAAATACATATTTTAAGGATTTCAAATATTTATAGAACTTCAATAATATTGCATTAAAACATTTCTGATCATGAGTAGATTTTATAAAACATTTTTGTTTCAAATCTTTTCTATGATTCCAAAAGCAAAGTGAGAATGCTAAGAACATTGTCCGAGTTTTTTCTGAAGTAACTAGAAACTAAGTTTTTATAATTTTCTATTTATAAATATTCACAGCACACACAAATGACTCCACAGAAAAGACCTACTTGATAAAGTTTCAAAATACATTTCGTCCTTTCAGTTACTGAAATCTCTAATTCACAGACATAAAAAAAAAATAATTATAACTATTGTTTTCTAATTGACTATTAAATGACAGTTTGACTATTAACTGTTTTTCTACTGTGCTGGTGGATATATTGCATTTGTTTTAGATTTTTTGAACATATTGTATGTTTTAGGTGCAAGCTCAAGTAAGAAAAACCAAAGCACGTTTTGATAAACTGAAGTTGGATGTGATGCAGAAGATAGACTTACTTGCTGCCAGTCGCTGTAACATGTTCTCACATGTATTGGCAAACTATCAGTCGACATTGTTACACTTTTGGGAGAAAACATCCCGTACCATGACGGCTGTATCAGAAAGTTTCAAAGGCTACCAGTATTATGAATTTAGCATGTTAAAGGTAGGTACTGATTTATTTGAGCATTTATAATTGTAGAAGAAATGTGTAAAATCATTTAAAATTTTTTCCTGGTATTTTTAAGAGTATTTGTAGAAATTATTAAAAAATCAAATTCTTTGAGAACGTTTGCACACATTATTTGGAAAAGAAATTCATTGAAAAAAAATTATCATTAATAAAATTGTCATATTAATTTTCTTTTAAATACTCTTTGACAAAATATCTTTAAATGCAGTAGGTTAAATTCCAACTAAAATCATAATTCAAATCAGTTACAATAAAGACATTTTGTAATCCTCTTCAGTGTTCTGAATCAAAAATAAAAGCTATTTTAGGTACAGGTTTCTATTGCTGACCTAAAACAATATTGGAAAGTTATTGATAAGTGTTAAGAAGGTGAGCAAAACTGAATTCACTAACAAAAATGGCTTTTAACTCCTAAAGAAACAAATTTCGATGGAGTTAAGACAATGAAGCCAAACAAAATGAAAGATAAATGAACCTGAGAATTTGTCTTTGTAGAAATGCAACAGTTACTCATTTTACAATACACTCTGATAAAATTCTTGACAGTAATATTGTTTAAAAATATACTTATTGTCATTACCATCATTACAAAAAGTGCATAGTATTACTAATTCTTTTGGTGAAATAATTTCATTGTGTGTGGATCAATATGTTTCACAAGTGTCATAATACTGCTAACCATGATAATTTTGGTCATGATAATTATGCTATGAATTTTTCCTACTGTTAATTCTGTCTTGCAAGTGAAGTTTCTTTAATTTAACAAATATCTTCAATTTTATTACTCAAAGGATAAATCAGTTGTTACAAAAAGAAAGAATATTTCGACTGTATATAAATAATAATTTTCCCATGGTATGTAGTTATAACAAATAGAAATGAGTTTTTAAAATATTTTTTTAATAAAAAATATTCCAATATTGTTATAAAAAGTCGATTCAGAAAGAAAAGAATAACCTTAAAAATTTATTTGGTATTGGTTTCTATGTCAGCAGAGGCAAAAAGTTAAAATCACCTGTATAAAAGCATGTAAACCAATTATGATCAATGGATGTCACATCCAGTAATTGTGTATTTGAGCCAAAGCTCCATTGCAGAAATAGAGCCACATGCAACAGAATAATTTCTACTTTAGATTTATCACATGAAACATTTATAATAACAATTAAGAGTGTTGGTATCTTTGGCTGTTAAACTTATTTTCTCCCTTATTTAAAGGAATTGACTGAACCCAGCAAAAAGTTGTGTGAAACGACACAAAAGAGAGAACAGGCTGAGAGGGATACAGACGGTGGGGAGGAACCACAAAAGTAAGTAGTTGTATAACTTCTTTATCCAATTCCACCTGGACTCATTTGGTTTAACTTTTAAAGATATGTTTTTCTCTCATTTTCTATTTTCACCTGTCTCTCTTTTTTTCTTCTTTCCCATTCCCTTTTCCTCCTCCTTTTCTTATTTGTAAGTAAATGTTGGTATTTCATAAATCTACAACTGTCAGTTCCCCACCCACACCTTTATGTTCCATGGATCTTCATTAATGGAAACTGTCTTGTGAAAAAGCACAGAAATGTTTCCTGAGGAAATGACAAGATTTCTTTATTTATTCATCAGTACTTTAAACCTCTGATCAGAATCTAGTTAATATACATTCTGTGAAAAATCTTATACATATTGCATTTTATGAAAAAAATAGATGTTTTTAGTGGGAAAAAATCAGGTAGATGTTTAAATAGGACATAGAAATTTGTATAGAATACATGGATAGCCACCTAGTTTATAGAAATTAATTTAGCCTAAATAAAATAATTTGAACATAATTGACAAAAATATCTTCTGAGTCTGAATTTATTTTACTTTTTCATTCACTTCAATATGCTGGAAAAATTAGAAATAATTATTCTGATATACTTTTACATGCACACACACCCACACACATACATATATATATATATATATATATATATATATATATATAAAACATTAAATTCTTTTTAACATCTTTGTAGTAATGCTTGAATGATATCTTGATTTATTTGATATTTTCAAATATTGATATTCATGAATTAAAAATTAAACAATAATTGAAAAATAAAATCCTTGAAAAATTTCAAACTATGAATGTTGTATAATGTTTGTTTATTGATCAACTATTTATCATTCATTATTTATGCCTGTAAATCTTTGCTGGTTTTTTTTTTTTTTTCCACAAATTATCTTGAATTTTTGTCTTATGGAATTAAGTGACTACTTGGAAAGACACCTGAATATCTAAATAGCTAGTAAATGCAGTTATCTGGTCTGGCATATATAAAACATTTGACTTTAATTTTAGATTATTTCTATTTATCTGAGAGATTCTCACTTTGTAACATTGTTTTTAAAGATCTGTAGAAGAGCAACTGAAAGATCTGATATGCGACCTTTCGGACGAGGACCCTCCTGCCAACTCAGACAGGTATCTTAGGGTTTCCACTTTACTCATTCTTTGTTCTGACCTCCTTTCTAATATTTTCATTTTTCTAGAATATGGGATTTTCAACTTGGTCAAAAATCATACGCACCACTGCAACTAAAAATCCAAAATTTCTTTTAGTTAGTTACTTTTTAGAACAAAATTAAAGAAATAATTGCAATTTCTTCATGGATTTAAGTTATAAATTGAATATTTTTACAATTTGTATTTGATCATTAGAAATTAGTTTCAAACTATGTGTACATAAACACACATAGATATATTTGTAATTGTAATATAAAAAATCATTAAAATGTTAAGATGGTTATTCTCTTTTGCCTTTTTTTAACATTCTTCTTGCTTATTAAGAATATTTTTAATGATTAATGTTTCCTTTAATTAAATAAATTTCATTTCAAAAGAACTAAATTTAAGAAAAAGCTTGAGGACTAGATTATTAAGAAATAATTTTGAAGTAATTTGAGTCAAATCTTGTAATAGGAATCCACTTAAATATTTTACATTTTTATTATCTAGGAACAAAATAAAATGAATACTTGGGTTAGTTATTCAATAATTTAATTGGTGAATTGTTTTTACTTGTTCTGTACTTTTATCCACAATATTCTTTTGGTTGGTTTAAACTAATATTTTGACCAACTTCACTTGGAACTAGCTAGTAACCAGTTGAGACAGATTTAATTTTTAAAAGTTTAATCTCACAATGCTAGGTTTTCTTTTCTTCAACTTAAAGTTTTGCCAGGTCAATACCGATTTGACAGTGAGAAAGAAACAATTCACAGAAGTGATTCCTTGATGAGATGAAAAATCTGCTATCATTATAAATCATGTCTGTAATATTTACTTAACTAGCTTAATGGCTGAGTCCATGCTTGGTGATATGTTAGAATATCACTTTTTAAAAACTCTTAATTTAAAATCTTGAACACCATATGCAAAACTAAACAAGACTTTTTATAAAGGTTTTCCAAATTTGTCATCAAATAATTTTAAAGTTGATTAGTATACACCATCCAATGTGAATTAGGATCAAATACAGATCAGAATCCAACAGAATGATCAAAGAACAAATAGGAAATGTTTGTCAACCTAACATGTTTCACTTTTAGTAAAGCTTCATCAGAGAATGAGATATGGAAAAAAATGGAAGAAATAAATCTGGTATTTTTATTTTTGTGCTGTTTGAATTTCATTGGTTAATCAGGTTTCACATGCATTTGTTAAACAAACATTCAAGGAGAAACAATGCATCCTTTTGAAACTCCAAGAAATGAACAGATTCCAAGCCTAACTGAAAAACTATAAATATTGCTTTATGTATGTAAGTGTATAATAATTCAGTTTGTCTATCTGGGATTCAGATGATAATGTATATTTGTAAATGTGTGTAGTAGACATTATGTTTTGTGGTCTTTCACATATTGATTTGGGAACATTTTTATAAACATACATTAGATTCGTTAAGAATGGATTCAATAAAGATTTGTGATGTAATATAGTGTTTTTGATGTGTTTACAGTTGATAAAATATTTATTAGTAATTCCTTGAAATACTTTTGAATTATGTTCTTTTTTTAATTAAGGTAAGGGCATTTGAAAAATCAAAGTTCTGGCCAATTTTGTCCTTGTGTAATACAATAGTTTGAAGGACTGTCTAAACATAAATCCTTATTTTCATAAATATGGGCTTTTAGATTTTGAAATGTCTTGCCAATATAAGTGCTGTTACATTGTAATTTATTTGATAAATACCAGCATCTGAAGTAGTGTTGGATATATTTTTCTTCCTAATTATATCTCTAATTATCTTGGACGTGGTGGTAAAGATCCTAGTATTAGGGATAGCTGATTTATTTACAAAATTTGTAAATAGTGCTAGAAGGTAGGATTATGAATTTTGTGTTGTTGATATTAGAAGTGCTATCAGTGGTGACTAGTTTTTTGGATTTATGGTCTTTGAAAGCTCTTTTTCTTGTGTTGAAGATGAAATGATATGGGAAGTGAAGTAGTCTAAATGTTTTCTCAATGTATTTCTTTTCTTCACCTAGATATTCTGGGCTACATATTCTAAGGGCTCTGAAGTAGAATCCTATAACTAGTTATGATTTTATTTTTTGATTGTGGTGAGAATAGAAATTAGATTGTTTTTGTTAGTGGATTTACGATAAACTCCAAAATCTAATTTGTTATTGCTAAATATTAATAAGATGTTGACGAAAAGTAGAGATTTGTTTAATCCAAAGCACAGAATTTCCTTTTTTATGTAAAAAACTTGTATTTATTGACTGACGCCCTTTGATCTGGACATGATCATTTCAATATCAATCACAATTTTTAACACTTGATAAATTTGACTTCATTTTAGCCCAAATGTTTCCCAGTTTTTCTTTTTATCTATTTATTTAGTTAGTTAGTTATATATTAAATAAAAACAAAAAACGTTGATGGAACCAATGGACAACTTGCCAAAACCTAAAACCCAATTCCTGATAGTCATAAACAAAAATGACAATACCGAAAAAGGCATGAAGCCAAATGTATCTACTCAGTAAAGTGCTTGAAGACTAGATTGCCTAGACAGTGCCAAAAATGCTTAACAACCTTAAATCCTATGAAAGAATGATCCTCGTCATAACCCAAGTTTCACGTAATCTTTGGACAACTTGAACGCAAATGAAAAAAAAAGCAGGGACCAGCTTTTTATTTATATATATATATATATATATATATATATATATATAAGTGAACATAGATGTCAACACTTAGAGGCGACAGTCTGTTTCATGCTAGATGCAATCGTCAGGCCATTTGCATCTAGCATGAAAACACTGTCGCCTCTAAAATGTTCACTTTTATATTTACAATGCTCTATCTCTGATATTGAGCACTTTATCTCATAAATATAGCACATCTTAAGACTATATTTCTTCATATATATATATATATATATATATATATATATATATATTTAGGCGATTGAATGACAAAGTAAAAAATTGTCATTCAATTGTCTAACACAGTTACATTGTTCTGATATATAGTAATTTATGTATCATATTTTTTATATATATATATATATATAGTGAGTCCCCAGTATTCATGGGGTGGTTAGAGCTGCGAATACTTGTAACCCCTCTAAAAGTGGTTATTAGTACCTATTTTGATTGTTAAAATCCCATATGCCTTACACTTTCATTCTAAATACTTTAGAAACATTTCAGACCCTTTTTAAAAACATTTTTGAAAAATAGTATTGGTGACCATACTTAGCAAAATTTTCTTTCATATGTACAATAACCATTTTTAATTATGCATAGATCAATAAAACCATTGAAAATATTGTATAAAATATGTGTAACAAGACATAAAATATAAAGTTTAAAACATTTTCTAAAAACAAAACTGTGATGATGCCCCCCCCCCAGACTTAGCATAAGCCACTTTTAAAACCCCAGCCACAGCCCCTAACAAAGAACAAAGCCCAAGCATGTTTTTGCATTTTTTTTTTACAATCAAGATGTACAATTCTTCCAATTTTTACCATAAATTGAACTGTTATATGTTTTAAGTCACTTAAATAACAGGAAAATAATACAAGAATATTTTCAATATGTTCTATTGAAAAAATACGCAAATTGAGAGAGTTCTCAGCAAATAATTTGTACATATGTTCTTCAGAAAAACGCACTAATATACAGGTTTCCACAAATAACAATGTTCTAAAGAAGCCACAAATGTTGAAACACAAATAGGCAGGGGTTCACTGTATATAGAATTGATATGAGCAAAAGGTTTATCACTTAGCTGATTGATGTTAACTTCAGCATCTTAACTCCAGAATTTCATAGCCAGACTAATCCGTCTGCTCATCAGTGGGTACCAGAAAGGGATGAATGTAAGTGAAGTATAAAAAATCTTATGAAAATTTTATTATTGACATTTTTTATATGTTCGTGCTTTAGTTTTCACATAAATCCAAGCTTTCTAGGGTATCCCTTATAATTTATGCACACATACCTTCAGTTTTAATTTATTAAGCAGTAATGAGTTACTTCTGTTTTTTAAAAAAATATGAACATATTAAAAAAACCTACAAATTTTTTATTATGACAGCAAACCCAGATTAAAGAATTTTTATGTTGTTCATGCAACAGTTATAAAATGAACTAAAATCTAAAGAATTTTTTCACTTCAGTTATTCATAGAATGTTACCATGTTGTAAACTATTGCAAAGAACATAATTCACCAGCATCACCAATTGCTTTAGTCAAGATGCTTAGTGTCCATTCTTCATTTAAGATTTCTTCATCAGCCAGCACTTGACTAGCAATAAATAATCTGTTGGCAGATTTTTTAGACATTTTTAGAAAAATTAGCAATGATTTAAAACATTTTCAAAATTATGTTTTTCAAAAAAAGAGTAGAAAGGGGTGTAACCTATAATTAGTAGAATTTCAGGTGTTAGATTTCTATTGATCAGATATCCTAGATCACAATTATAAGAAAAAAAATTTTAAAATTAAAACAAAAAGTAGTCCAAGATAAAAAATAATTTGAGAAGAAAATTTAATGTCTGGAAAAATCATGTTTTTATTTAAAAATTCTTGTTCTATACATCATACATATTTTTATAAAATTATGAATAAAAAACTTAAATCTTTATAAAATGGGAAATATCACATTGTACTTGGTTCATGTATTTTTATAATCTTGTAAATAAACATTGCTGAGGGTGTCTGCAGTAATAGCAGTGTCAAGGGAAAAAAACATCCTTTTGTTGTTTTTTTTGTGAAGACGAAGCTTAAATTTTGCCAAAACTTTTCTAAACATTTAAGTTTATAGCTTCTTTTCAACCAGGTTATGATGTATATTTCATTGATATTTATCAGGATGAAAACTAAAACTTGTGCAAAATTTCACTTATAATTTATATTTAGTTTTGTTTTATTTTATATTTTTCTATGGGTTTAAAATAAATTATAATTTTGCCAGTTTCTTAAAAAAAAAACTTTTGCAATATGGTATCAAAGTAACATTGTCTATTTTATTTTGGTTTGCTTGAATAATTCAACTCTTACATTCTTAACTAAAATCGCCAATGTTCACCTTTCTTCTTGGCTTAGATCAAAACAGTCAAATATAAATGATCTCTTTGTTGAAAAGAGTACTGAAGATGATGATCAGGATCTCTTGAAACCTGGAAACAGGTAGCAACTCCTCAAGTTCTTTTTAAAATACCTTTGTTTTTTGGGTTTTTTTTCCTTTTTTTTGAATTTGTCAATTTCTTTTCTTTTTCTCCTGTTTTTATTAGATTTTTATTAGCTTAGTGAGTAAAAGTGGATACGATCCTGAATTTAGTTTTTATTTGATATAACATAAGCTTTACTATTGAATATTCTTCCTGATTTATTGTAAATGAAGAGTTAAGAATAAATGTCATATCATCATTGTACCATTTACTAATTTGATTAAAAATCAGTAATCATTATCAAATCATTAAATGAGGACAATAAAGTGTTTCCAAAATATGTTTCTTTTTCTGACTAGGAAAACAGCTAAGAACATTATAAATAGAAGACACTGTGATCAATGCAGTTTATATATAGTAAAAATCTATATTTTTTATATGGATTTAAAAAAATGTGTAAAATTGATAACTATTGAGTCTGTAGCATTTAAACGTTTAGTTATTTTTATGCTCTAATTCTTTTTTTTTCCATGATGCTATAAATTCTCTGGTCTTGGAATCAAATATATCTCATTCATTCCATTTATATCTTAATTAATTTAATAAAAGTAGTTCTATTTATACATAGCCCATATAGATCTCTACTAACTAACATTATGCAGGCAAATATACATTTATGAGAATAGTTGGAATATAGCCAGTATCAAAAATGTTCCATCAATTGTCATTGGTAATTTTTTGCCTGCAGATTCCAAAATAGAATTTTTTTTACAATTATGAAAAGGTGTTAAAGTTTTTGACTCAACCAAGATGGGATTAAAAAAAATTCTGATGTTTGGTTAGATTTTGAGAAATGGATTGAATCAAGAATTTTTCAGCACCCTATCATATTTTTCAGTACAAAAGGAAATTTTGCAAGGTATTAGTTTGTTCAACATGTATTAGGAATTTTAGTAATTTTTACCATTCTTTTTCTTTTTGTAGAGGTAATGACATGTTGAATTGATCTCTTACTGTTAAATACTGTTTGTTAATTGTTCAGTAATCCTTGCATTTCATTAAATATTTGTAAATTTTTAAATAAATATGGAAAACCTTTTCCACTGATGATGCTTGTTAAGAATAAACTAGTAGTGTAACAGATATTGACCAAGAATGGAGAATCCATGAACAAAGTTCAGATTCTAACCAAGTGTTTATTGTGCTTACTTTGTTTCCAGTGTCTTTGGGAAAAAGCATGAATATGTTTCTTTTGGTTTTTTTTTACACTTATAGATCAAATAGAAGAGTACAGTGTAGGTTCTCTAGCTTTAGATGACAGCCAGTCTAAGAGAAGGAAATTTCTAAATTCTAAACTGTAGCATAGACAATTGGAAACCAGTCTATTATTTTTCGGAAATCCTGGCAATTCACACGCCTTAAAGCAAAATAAAACTGTGAAGATCCATGATTGCCTACATTCTGAAGAGACATGGCAATAAAAAGAAAAGAAAAAAGTTTGAATTTAATGGAGCTGATAGTTTGCGGAATATGAATTCTGCCTTTGGACACAATGTTTTGCGAATGAACAAATAAGATTTTGCTTTCAATAATTTGAAAGTGGAGATTTCATTTTAGAAAACTAAGAGGCTGGTCAAAACCAACAATCATTGATAAATATTTGACGATTTCATGGAAAATGATCCAAAAACCTCACTCATCAAACATCAATGTATTGATTGGAACAATATGAGGTGTTTTTTCAAAAAAAATTTGCATCTATAATCATTCAGCAAGTTAAGTAATGGATAACGTGTTTCTGCACTATTCAAACAGCTAGGTAGATAACAAGCCAAGTACCATAATTCAGATAATCACAAAAATGCTTTAGAATTTGCTGACATAAATTTACTAATGCAAATTGATGAAAAAATTCTGATCATATTCCATTCATTCTCATAAAGAAATATAAATTTATGAAAATTGGTTGGAATATGGTCAGAATGTTGCCTAATTAAGATCTACATGGGTCATGTATAAATGAATAGTGCCTCAAAAATACATACAGTGGTGATGATAGTGTGGTGACATAGTGTTTTGTAACTGAAAACTTACTTTATTCATCACTACTATTGTTCTCTTTCTGTGTTATAATTTCCAGAGAAATAAATAGATGGAAAAATAAAAAGAGATATGTTGCCAAGTCAAAATTACTTCAAAATGACATCAATCTATAAATATCTTGAATTTTTTGGCTTTCAGAATTTCTTTCTGAATTTTTTTATTATAAATTTTCCTGTATCGCCTTTCTTGTTTTTAAAAGAAAAATTGAAAAAAAAATTCTCCCAAAATTTGTAAATTGAAAGTCTGTCACACTCTATACTTCCCCTCGTAAATATCCTTTGGTTTCACATCACAAATTTCTCTTTTTTTTGCACATTACTTTTGTCCTTATATTTTGGGTGATGTTCTTCAGTATTTGATTTCTTTTTCTCCTTGTTTTATTTATCTTATTTTTCTTGTCTTGAAATTAAGACAGAACCCATCTGACTTGAAGAAACCATTTTTGAAAGACAAGGAACTGAAGGAAGAGAAACAGTCTTCTCCAAAAAGTATTGACAGGTAGACAGTCTTTTGAATAATGGCATTTTTGGTGACAAGCAGTATCTTTTTTTCCTATCGGTGTTCTTCAGAACTTTTTTTCTTTTATCCATTCTTTCTCTTTGTTTGTAAATGCCATTTTCTCTATGGGCATTTGGGTTACTTCTCTTCCAATTTACATCATTCATACATGCATTTTTACATCATTCATACATGCATTTTTACTCAGTATTTGAAAATGCTAACTGTATTTTGTGTTCTTTTAAGTGTTAGATTACTACATGGGTTTCCAGCATTTTTTAAGAAAATTTTTTATTCATATAATAAATTCATAGCATCATTTCCTAATTCTCTATGATCTTGTATCACCTTAAAAGAATAATATTGGTTATGATTTGGAGAATTCAGCAAGGATTTTTACAAGAGATCTTGAATTTGTTGGAATTGCTGATGAGACAAAAAGCTTTGCATGAAAGAAAACAAATGGCAGTCTGAAGACCACATCTCAGATGGATAAACTCTCCATTCCAGCTCCATGATCATTAACGATATCATTTATTAGCAAAATCACTCATAGGCTTCCTTATCCAAAAAATGTTATTTCTTCTACTATTCAAATAACTAATGGCTTACCATAGCATTAGGCAGTATCAGTTTGTCCAGTTTGTAATGAAAAATTCCAGTTAAATTAAGATGTTAAAGCCTGTCCTGAATCTAGGAATAATTTTCTTCATTTTGAATTCTCATAATAAATTCGCTTATCAATGCCAGTGACTAAAATCTTGTCTTGTCTAAAAATGACTTTTCTGTGTCAGTCAAGAGATGTAAGCGTTCCATTTTGAGTGTTCATGTGGAATCTATTTTCTTAATTTCTGAATTTTGACCAAGGCTTGTAAATAACAAACTATAGTTGAGTAATGTGCTTCTAATTTTTCTGCTAGTTCCTGTATTGTTTGTACTCCATTTTCTTTTAAATTTTCCTTCAAGACATCAGTTTTCAATTTTTGAAATCTTCTGGAGCATTCTTTATCCTTGAGTTCAAAATCTCCCATTTTAATTGTTGCAAACAATTCCATACTTGTGTCTATTGTAGCATTACCATCAGCTACCCTCTACACTTTTCTCAAATTAACATATAATTTATTGAATATGTCAAATTCTTACATTTCTGTGAACAATTCTTAAAGAGAAAAAATAAAAATAGCTGACTCATCTTCAAAGATACTTCTATGATTTCCCTAACATATTAGAAAAGATGTATCAGCCCAGTATTTATTTATTAATATCTAAAGATCATTAATCTAAATAATGTTACTATTAGTGTTATTTTTTTTTCTTTTGCTCTTGTCTCATTCAGCAGCTGGCTTGTACTCTATAAAATATTCAAAATGAAAATGCATGTATATCAAGCTTCTTTACAACCTATAGTCTCTCCTGTAAAAATCCTTTGGTACCACATCACAAAACTTCACTTATTTTCACTGCACATTTTCTTTTTATCACATATATTTATTTTATTTAACTTGACATGAGCCAATTATAATTATGTGAATAACTCTATTCATAAGCAAAAACTTTCATTATTTGACCAAAAGTTTAATCTGATATAATTGCACATTCCAGCCATTATGACTCAAAGAATCCATTTTTGAATGATGTCAAAGAAGAGATGGAGAAAGAACAAGAAAAAAGCAACCACAATCCATTAAATGTTCACAGGTAGAGGGCCATTTTAGGGCCACCAGAATTTTTTTTATCTAGGGTGACTTTTAAGAGTGGTGGTTTTTTTTTGGTTTTTTTTTTTTTTTTTTCATATTTTTCTTGTCAATATTAGATTTATGCTTTGTTTTTACTCTCAGATTTTTTTCACCTTTCAAATAAAAAAATTAAGGGTGAAAAAGGAGTCCAGGTTCTTCATGAAGCTCATTTTCAAAAGTGCTTGATATTTTCAATACCGTTAATTGATGTTTACTTTCAATGTTATATATATATATATATATATATATATATATATATATATAAGCTTATCTTAGCCAACACATTTTGTCTTCTAATGGACTTTATCAAGGAAAATATAAGGATTTTATTTTGAAACTAGTATTTATAAACAAAAGTAAAAATGTTGATAAAATCCATCAGAGGACAAAATGGCAAGTATAAAGCTTTTTTGTCTTTAGTCATGGATATATTTTTAGTTATAGAAATTTTACATATATTTCTTTTTTGCATTGTTAAAAAATTTTTTTTTATTTCTTTCTTTCTTTTTCCTCTTTTTATTTCATTCTCTTTTTTCCCCTTTTTATTTTGTTTTCTTTTTTTCCCTTATATATATTTATAAAACTGAAGAACAAACAATTTTGTTTATATAGATATTTTGTGCTATCCTGAAGAGTATGAACAAAAATTAATGTTATTGAATAGTCACCAGGTACAAACTATTAATTAGCATTGTAGCTCTAATCTTCCTAAAGTTTCCAATTGTTTTATGCTGTGACAATATGGTATAAACCTAATATTGACTACTTTTAATTTTTTTTTTTCTTAAGATTTCATTTTACACATTCTTTTCCAATGCACAAATTTCAGTAAGTTTTCAAATTCCCGATTTTTATCTGCATGGTAAAAATGAACTATATGACTTTTAAATAATTTTTTTTTATCTTGGTATTTGGTAGAAGGGCTTAAAGTTTTTATTGAAAATATTTCACTAATCCATTGTTTTGAATCAAGACTATTTCAAATATTTTTGATTGTTTAGCAATATTTGAGTCTTTACCAATGTTGCTCCATTTGGATATGAATTTGGGATTTTTCTGATTTATTCTTGAAGTTGAATATATTAAATTCTACTTTCAAAGTTATTTACTTTTTGTCTCATTTAGTAAATTTATTAAAAGATTTTCAATTTTATTTTTTACTTTTTACTAAATGTTCACTGAATACAACAAGGCCTGAGAGCTATACAAGGAAGAGAGTTACTGAATAAGGCTGTTGTATAAGAGGAGGAAGAAATTATAAGGATATGTAAAATAGATAATGGTTGACCTTAGACTTGAAAAGGTTAAAATTGTAGTGACCAAGGAAAGCATCCACCCATAATCCATTTTTGGTCTGATTGGACTCCTGTAAAGATAGAGCATTGCAGGAGGAGTCAAGTACTATTTTTAGAGCAGTACAAGAAACTGACCATTTTTCCAGAATCTTTAGTGATAGATTGTGTGTATATCTATATAAATAAATACAATAAATCTCCACCAACAGAGGATCATATTGTAATCAAAAGAGCCAAGGCTGAAGCATGAAAAAGAAAGTCCCATGCAAATGAAAGCCCAGATCAAATGGCAGCAATGAGAGCTTCCAATGCTGAGAATATGCAAAGACTTGGGTACTCCTGAACAAGACAAAGGTCCAATTAAGAGTTCTCTGCAGGAGTTAGCTTAAATGCTGCCATATATGAGTTTCACATGAGATCTGGGTTGAATTTTATTCCCAACAGACGTTTAAGGCATTCATTGCAAGTGCAATTGTTCATCATGATTGGAGAAAATTCAGGGTATGTTCAGTGATGATGAAACCTTACTTGCTTTGTTTTGGAGGTATTGAATGTTACAAGCCATTTTTAACCTACACACGTATTGTTAAGCTGTTAGAGCTGGATCAGAGTGGAGATCAGGTGCCAGGCTCTGATCGTCTAAATCTTTAGAAGTGCACCTATAAATTATGGTATCATTAGCATAGATATTTACTTAGCATTTGAGAATGTTCCTAGGCAGAGCATTAATATAAAGCAGAAGATAGGACCAAGGAAAGAGCTTTTGGGGATGCCTACATTAATTTTGTGGGCTTTAAACAATTAGACATTAATAACACCCTTCATGGACTTACCTGATAGGAAGGAAATGATAATTGCAAGCTCTCTTTCAGAGATGCCATGGCTGGAGAGTTTGTGTAGCAACCACTTATGCTATGCATTGTCAGAGGCCCTTTTGGGATATCTAAAGTGATCACACTGTGTGGGTGTGTGTTTGTGTAATGAGACCAGAAGTGGACTTGAGGGGTAAAATCCAAACTGTTTGTTTTTGTTGAGAGTGTCAACAACCTTTTTGTTGATAATAGACTCAGAGTTTACAGATGGGACGATATTGCAATGGGTATGAACACTCTCCTGCATTCTTGTAAACAGGGCATACAGCTGCTACTTTCCATAGACCTTGGAAGCATTTCTCCTTGAGGAAGTGGTTAAACAACTTTCCCATGATATGAGATGGCCCTTGTCATCTAATGTCAAGTTAGAGGCAATGTTCATTACAAAGAGTTTAGCCTTATCCACTGAAGATGAGATGACCTTGGAACCATTTATAATAGTAGGTACTGATGTTTTGCCTCTATTAAGAATCATGTTGGTGATTTACTGGAATTTTCAACTTTGGCTTTGACTGCTCTTTACATTTTCCAGAACAGTCTTGCCCTGATTGTGGGCAGGTCTGAATGTGGCAACAATTTTGCCACATTCCTGTGATGTTGAGGCTAGTAGTGGTTATGGTGAGCTATGGTGGCCACAGATTCAGGCATGAACCAAGGACAGTGACTCATATGGGATGAAACTCTCCATACCATTCAGTAATGAGTGCAGCTATTCTGGTCAGTCTATTTTTGAAGAATGCTGAGAGAACTTTCACAATGTAAGATCTGCAGTCAGTTTTTAAGTACTGAAAGATTGTCTTGTGAAATGGGACACCAGAGGATGCCTTTGGTTTGGCATCAATCTTGACATTGATTAGTGAGTAGCCATGGAAATTTAGATGGTCACATTTTATGATTAGAGGTGAGGCCTGGAATAAACTGACTGAATTCAGCTTCAAATAGGAACAAGAACTCACATTTGATCTCTTGAAGGTGAATTTAATTCCTGGAAAGTTGGAATGGCATCCCTTATATGAGTATAGGAAATAGAGAACTTGGAGTCTACTTTTGGTTAGGAAAATCTGTGTTTGATTTTAATGTTTGTTTTAGCTATCATCATGATTTAGTATGTAACGGTGAAATATCAAGGTAGCAAGCCAGCAACACCCAAAAGTAGTAGGGGGGGGGGGGGTGATTATTTGGATGAAATATCAGAAAGTACATCCATAAGTTTATTTCTTACACATGTTTAATAATAGTTACAATCTAAGAAAGAAAATTTTGGTGAATTTGTTATCATTAAATACTTTCTTATTTTATTTTTTTAAAATTATTCATTTTTTTTTAAAATACTTTTTAAAAAATTTATTTTTAGCAGTTACTGTTTTACAAATCATGGTCTGGAAATTCACTGACTTTTCTTGTGCATGAATCTAGCCATGTCCTGGAGCTTACGTTTCATCCAGGTTTTTTCTCTCCCTCCTTGTTCCCTGTATCCCCTCCCCCACTTATTTTCATGTGACACTGTAATTTTACTTATTGATAATCATCCTTCATCATTTCAGACTTGAAAGGACATAAATTCAAGTAGCAGGTAACTTATTTGTGCCTCTCTTGCTTTCATTTGAAAAGCATCATGGCCTTATCTTTTGATAACACGCATCATAAAACTAACATGCATGATGACCTTTGTTAGTAGACTTGACAACACTCAACATTTTCATGAAGCTGGAGATCCATGAATACTTGGTATATGTTTTTCTAATTTGAAAAGAAAAAACAAATGTTTTTTGGGTTTCATACCTTAAATCAATGATGTCATCAATCAAGTTGATTTTTGTGCTGGTCAATTGAAATGGAAAAGAAACCAAGCATAATAGCTGTAAATTAAGGAAAATTATTCAGGCTTTTTATTTTATATGATATTAACAAAATTTCTGCTGCCTAACATTTTTGATTATTTAACTAGGATGGCATTATTCTCTGTGAACAAGTAATCAAATTAAAAAGAAATAATGGATTTACAAAGGGCATTAGATAGGGTACCTTTCTTTTTAGAAGAGTAAAATTCCATATCTTCAAAGGACATTTCAAATTACTTTTATGATTCATAGTTTATTAAAATTTTCAAACTTTTGTCAATTTTTAGTTTTCAAAATCAGGTTATATAAGACAAGTTCATTTTAGAACATGGAGAGATTTTTTTGTATCAAAGTCTTTATTATCTTTATCAGTTTCATATTTTAAATTTCAAAACTGCTTTTCACATAATGTTGAAAATCTTTTAGATGTAAATATTGGATCTTGTTTAATCTCAGAGTCTCCAAAGTGGTCAATATAACCCCAGAGGTTAAGACATTTTAGGCAGACAATTAGAATTGTTGATACAGAATTTTATCAATATCCCATTGTTGCATTCTTTGGTAGACTTCCAATGAATGGTAGTGAAATTGCAATGATTAAAATTTGTTTTCCTAAGAAATTTCACTAGAAACAGATAAGTTGGAAGACAATATTTATCTTATTTACTTTCACTTTAAAAGAAAAAAGTACCTCTACATTGGAGAGTTTGTCTCTTGCTTTAAAAAGAAAATAAACAAATTTGTTTGTTTTTGGACTTGCTGTGGCTTATTTACATGCAGACTGTTATCCTCATCTTTGTTGTTATCCGGCCTTCTTGAGGTCTTGTGTCGATTCTGGTAACCTACAGGGAATTTTGAACTGAACCTTTTATTTAATCTACAGGCAGAGATTGTCCTCTGCCCATGTCTTGTGATATCTCATCTAGTTTTTATTTAGTTCTGTTGAGTTAGATAAGATATTCCTAGACATTGGTAGTGGAACAAGAACAATCTACCCCTATAGATTAAATAAAGGGTTCAATTAAAAATTTCTTGTAGGTTATCCGGATTAATATACACCTGATGATCACTGGAGAACACAACAGGCGAAATGTTCTGGTAACAACAAAGATGAGGACAAAAGTCACCACACAATGTAAATAATAACAACTCCTCATCCCAGAAATTCAGACAAATTATTGTGGCTTGTTGACTCAGTTTTTTTCTTCAAGTTTAGCTATAAACTTGTCAATCATTATGGCAGCTGCAGATTCTAAAAGGAAGTGTTAACAATAATCAGTAGAATATTTTAATCTTGGATTTATACAATTGCCTACAAATGAAAAGAAGTCCTTGTGAAAGTAATGATGCTATGAAAGACCCCCTTCAAAGAATTCAGCCTGATTTAAAAAAATAAAAAGAGAGAGATAAAGATTTTAAAAATATGAAAACCAAACAACTATTATGTTATTTATTAAAGCATTTCTTTTGTATTTATGTGGTATGGCTTTTTAACAGCTTTATGCAAGATTTTCTTTCTATATAGAAAAAAAGTTCAACCATTGCAGAAGAGATTATAATATTGTCAAAGAAATGATTGAAATTGTAATGAAAGAAAAACGCCTCTGTTCCTATTTCTAAAATACTTGCCTTTAAATGCAAATATAGTACAAAGATGACACACTTTCAAGGTTTGGCTCTTGCAAAGGATTTCCTACTTTAATGTAAAGTTCCTAACATATGTACTATTAACATTGTATTACACAGACACAACCATTTTTTGGCAGAATTTAGTAACAAATTGCATGGATATTCTACATGTATGTATCACATCAATAAATAAAATCAAAACTGATTTACATAATTCATAACTATTTGGGAAGCAGTGTGGAGGAATTCTGTTAAACTGTTGAATCCTGAAGATGGATGTCAAGTTAAATTGAACAATTTACTTGTTAAGTTTCTTGCAAATGTGGATTCCATTCTATCCAATGATTTGAAAAAGAACCAGAAATATATTTTCTATTTGCCAAATCTATATTCCAAATTTAATGATGCACAGATCTGTTTGCAGAATAAAGATGTAACAATTATTCAAACCCAGTCAGTGCTGTTAAGCTTAAGAGTAAAAAAAAAAAAATTAAAGCCTTTTTAAATTGTCATTGCTAAGAGAAAGAATTTTTACTTTATCAACTTGTAGCAACTGGCAAAAGAAAGCCAAGTGATTCCTGGTGATAATTTAGATATCTACATAAACCACCTTAAGAAATTGAATGAAGTCTTTGCAGTGTAATTTGAGTTTTTAAATAAAATTAATCTAATGGACAAGATGAACCTTTTAAACTGTTTATGGATCTCCAAGCTAAATCACTTTTCAAGCATACAACTGCAATAATGTCAACAAGTACCCTAAACTTTGTATAGAGATGAACCTCTTTTTTAATTGCATTTCCAACTTCCCATTTGATTGAAGCTGGTTTTATCTAAGTAAATTAGTTTTTAACAAAGCAAAGGTACAAACTGAACATAGAAGCATGTAGTGAATTGAGATTAAAACTCCAAAATTTAAAACCAAATTTCAGTGCTTTTCTCCAAGATCCTCATTCACATCCCTCCTGTTCAGGCAATCAATAAAAATAGATACTTTAGTAAATTTTGTAATAATAACTAACTATTGTTGTAGTTATTCTACCTTTAACTACATCTTAAAGAATTATAAAATTAAGAAGGCAATAATTGCATGCAGGGATCAACAGTCAAAAACATTTGGGTATCTTTGGTTTAATAAAATTATCATACAATTAATGCAAAGTTCAGTTTTTAGATGACCTTGCTCTTTCAGAAACTTCTGCTTTGAACATTCTGGTGTTTACAGGAATTTCTAATGGCTAAATTGTGACAATCAAATTCTACTCCTTTCTTTTTTTTTTCTTTCTTTTAACAAGCAAATTTTGAGAGATGATTGAGTCTATATACTTTTCAGAAAGTTCAAAATGTAGATACAACTAGCAACATTCCATTTCTTTTTTGTGGACTTGATGCTTTCTTTTTTTTCATTTTTAATCTTGAAATTCCTATTTTTCTCCCCACTACTAACAGGCATGATGAGAACAAATTTTGAAAATAAATACGTCTACCAATTGTACATCAAGTAGGACCAGAAAAGTTTACTTTTTCTAAACAGAACAAATCTGTAGTTTTATTTCTAAAATAACATATTAATTATAGCTTATAAATTGTGTATATAAGTAATAAAATATATATACAGTTATAAGTTTGGTTAAATCTCAGTTTCTGTATCTTTATATTTTATGAATTGCAAAAAACATTTTTTTTTTTTTCCAAATATCTTGTTTTCTTGGCATCGTTTTTGTCTTGCTTTAAAAAACATTTTCTGCAGTTTTTCATAAAGGAAAATTCACAATCTGACTATAGAAAAATAAAATACATGTTACAGATTTTACTAACTTATCTATAATAATGATATAAGATATGTAATTTATTTACATTTATGATTATTTAGAATTTTTCTTGCTTTAAAGATGAAGAAATAGGTGCTTGGCAATAATATTTTATGAACATTGTTTTTGAATTTATTTGCAGATAATCTAATGTTTACAGATTTTAGAACCAAACAATCTTGCATGAAGTTTTTAAAATATCTTTGATGAAATTAATATTCAGTTTCTTTCAACAATCAATTGTTATTGTAAAGTTTGTGTATATATATATATATATATACGCACACACAACAAACACTGTATGTGATAAACTCCAGTTTATTACTGAAGTTTATCACATTTAAAGGTGAGCAGATTTCTGTAAACAATATTAATAGAGCAACATTAGTTAATAGATAAAGTTCCAAAACTTACCTGTCTGTTAGTTTTCACAGATACACCACTTATCTGATTTATTGGACGCTGACAAGTGGTGTATCTAAAGAACTTGAAGTTTAATAGATAAATCTTTTGAACTATTTTTTTTAACTAATATATATATATATATATATATATATATATATATATATATATATATATATATATATATATATATATATATATAAATGAGAGAGACAGGACATGTCACCCAGAAAATAATGACATAACCCTTTTGCTCCATGAAAATTTATAAAAGTAAGATTTCCCTAAGAAAAAAAGAAATGCAAATTTGTAAAAAGCACCGGGAAAATATTGAGAAAGCTTAAAACAATCTTGGTTCCATCATTTTACTTATAATTATTGCCAGACAATTCAATGCATTATTTAAACAAATTAGTCATTAATAATTAACAGTTACTTTTTTTTTTTTTTTTGAGTTATTTCTCACTTATTACCAACTAAGACTGTTTTTACATTTACATAAGTAGCAAAGTAATTGTTCAAAATAATGCAGGTAATGGAAATAAGTTCAGCATAATTTGTTGCAATTTATCAAAACAGAATTTTCAAGTTTTTAATTAAATTCATAAAAATTTCACACTTAACAAATAAATCGACTAGTGAAAATATTTCTACATATACAATAAGAAAACCACAGGATTTTATGAGCTTCTCTTTTTTGTCTTAAAACCAAGAGAAAAAAATTAAATGAAACTTTAAAAAAATGATGCAATTTAAAATTCTCATTTAAAAAAAAAACTGCATTTATCATTAGTTTTGTGGCTATGTTGTTTGAAAAATTTTGACACTTTTTCAAACAACAAAACTAATGATAAATGCAATGTTTTTGTTTTTTTTTTTCTCAAGGAAAGCAAAATGTTGCTTGTTAATTTTGTATCTTCTTGAGTTTAGCTAAAGTCTTCCAGTTAGTGAACACCAGTTAGGAAAAAAATTTACTTTATAAAGCTTTTCTTTCATTTTGTAAATTAAAATCATTATTAAACTAATTATCAGGTTTATTTTTTATTGTGTTAAATATTTGCCACCTTTTAATTACAGCTTTAAAGAATGCAATCCAGGAAATGGAAGCCACCATAAATAAATCAAATGCAGCATCAGTCTCGTTATTTAAATAAGAAATATTTACATTGAATTCTTTAGTTATTCTAAATATGCAAATTTTATTTGACTATTTTTCATAGGCTTTTAACTCTGGAAGAAGAAAATGAATCAAAGGAGAAGAAAGGTGCTGAGAAGAATGGTAGTTTGCACAATTTATATGAACCTGATAAATCAGATACAGGTAAATGTAGACAGTATTTCTTTTTTCTTCTCATAAATATATGGTATTGATTTCAATTGATATTTATCAGTTCTTTGTGACTGAATTGATCTAGTTAGTAAAAAAGTTCATCCTGAAAACTTTTTGAAGTTTGGAAATCAATCCAGAAATGATTTTGTATAATGCTGTTTAAAATGAAATCAACAAATGTAGACACGCAACTTAACTTCCAACACAGAGTTCAGCTGATACATAGAATAAACATTTAAGACCATTCTATAATATTGGTGAGTTGGATTTGCTTTTATGTAGATTCTTTTAGATGAGCATCTACTTGTTCTTCATGCCTTATAAAGTCACACAAAATGACAAAGGAAAATGAAATCTGTGTATATTCTTATTTTCCTTATTGCTTTCGATCAAGTTGTTTGAAGCTTTTTATCAATACAGATTTGGCTGAAACAAAGATTTTTTTTTTTTTTAACAAAAAATAATTCATGTACAAACAATAAGTTTTTTGAAATAACTTTAGTAACCATACATTTGACACGTGTTACCTATGAGACCCTATGTAAGAGAAATATTTTATGTCTGCTTGAATTTGGTGTTTATTTTGTTTAGATGAGATCCATATTTATCAAAGACGAGTTATTCAAGCCCGGACTTCATATGTAATGAAGCCAATCACAAATCCTTCGTCTATGGATATTAAAAATACAAAGACTGCCAGTAAAAGTGCAGGTGTGTTGTGGTGCACCCTTGCCTGACTGCACCGTCATCACCACCATTATCATTGTTGCTTCCTGACATTAGGAAATTCTCCAATTTTATTCTAACCTTCTTTATTGAATGTGCAAAATATTTTAGAAGCTTTAGGTGTGCACTTCATAAACACTTGTGTATGTTAAGCACTATATTTAAGACATGTCCTTTGTAGCAATGTCATCAGTAGCAAGGAACACTGTTGCATGTTTTTGTATCTTTTGTACATTAGATGAACTTTTACTTACTAAACCATGTTTTAAAATTGCTTCACATTTCCTCTTCAAATGTGCATTGCATTTTTTTGGTGGATCAAACTTTTCATAACAGATGAGACCCAACTATTTTTGATGACATATACAAACAAAGTTCTTTACTACAAACATTAGATTTAGAATTTGTGTTTGTTAGGTTACCTTTCATCTCTTTTAAAAATACTTTTTTGCCAGTATAAAAATTAGAAATCTTTCACACAAGTTATTAAATTATTTTAAAAATTTTATTTTATTTTTTTTAAGAAAATGACAAAAACAGAATAGAAAATCCTTTTATTGATTTTGGTGAAGATGATGATGTCAAAAACCTGGAGGATTTCACTTCACAAGAACTTGAAAAGATCAAAGCTCAAAAAATGAAGAAAGCATCTGGTTTGTTTGTTATTTTTATTTCTTTTTAAAAAAATTAAAAATTTTTTGACTGTCAAAATGCAAATGTCACTCACATTGGTTCATTTTTACTTCTTTTCTGTTTTAATTTTATAAAAAAAAAAATCATAATTCCTATCAAAATTATGATTGATTTCAGTTTTTCAACTTTTATAAATTTATTTTGATTCGTGCCATAAAGATTCTATTATTTCTGATATTCTTGATTTGTCAAGGTTGGAAAAAGCATCAACCAATTCTTACCATTAACAATGGCAGAAATGCCCATTTTGCAGTTATTGCATTGAGAGTTGATTTCAATGATAAAAGAAATCTTTAATATACAAACTTAAAATGCTGCTAATTCTGTAAACATTTGCACATACCCCCCCCCCCCCAGACACACACCCTTTAACTTGATTGAAAAAACAATAAATTACACTGACACTTATCACTTTTTCTTTTTTTTCCTTAATTCCAACCATTGGGAGAATTACTCATGAGACCAGCACATCATCTCCCTGATTTTTTTTTATGTGAGCTTTAATTTGACTATAATTTGATTTGGGCCTCTGATTAGGAGATTGGAGGCTTTGAGTAGCATAGAACCACCTCTTAATTGCTGTTGTTCCCAGGTCCTCCCTGACCTGGTGGTGGTAGCACCTGTTAGGGTCCCAGCTATGGATTAAATAGTGAACCTCAAAACAAAAACAAAACATTATGAAAGTATAAAAATACCAGCAATACATTTTTATATATATAAAAAAAAAAAAAAAAAAAAAAAAGACCAACAATGAATTTTTATCTGTAGTTGAAGCCATAAAATTGTGTTCAAAATATTTAGATTTTGACATTAAATACCCCGTAGAGTTATTGATATGCCGCTAAACAAAATTAACCAATCATTTGAGATGTGTATGAATTTGATTGACAAAATTAAGCCAAGCAAAATATTTTTTTTTCATAATGTAACTTTATCAAAATAATTAACACTATATTTTATTTTGTTTCTTTAGAAAATCCTGATTTGTTGTGTGACAATATTGAAGCTGATGATTCTGAAAAAGATGATATGGCTCTCCTCAATGAGATTTTAAATGCCCCTTCGACTGGCGAGGATGAATTCACTCGTGAGTGGCAAGCAGTATTTGGACCAGCTTCTCACTCAACTACAACAAACTTTACACCTGTGGAAAGTGACCAATCCCAGGCTCCAGCAGGTTTCATGCCTTCTAGTCTGTTAGAGATGTCCAGTCAAATGGGAAGACTTGATCTTTCGCAAGGTGAGCTATTTCTTAAAGCTCAACTTGTTCTTTTCTTTGCTGTGTGTTCAATTCACTTCAGAATGTTAATGTTTTATACTACATTCCTTCTCTGGAATCCTTATTTCTTCTCCAATGTATGAAGGGGTGTGTGTGTGTGTGTGTGTGTGTATATATATATATATATATATATATATATATATATATGAATGTATGCAGTCATAGGAATGGTTGAGTCGGTTTCAAACCCCAATCTGTATCAAGAGGAAAGAACAAAATTGTAGTCAACTAATTTCCATTATTGCAATTCTATACTGTAATGAACAAAAGTATTTCTGGAATTGCAGAATTAAAACAACATTAATATTCTATTCTAGATTCTTCTTCCCTTCAATATTTGACTTTTTTTCCCCAGCTGCAAATAGTACTCTGTTTAATGCCAGAGGAACTCCCAGTGGAACTGGTGAAAATGACAGCTTCTTTCCAAGTGGTCAACTGGCCACATCGTCCTCTACATTGTCTGCTGCATCTTCATCTTTCTGCCAATCAGCTGCACAGCCAAGTGAAGATGCAGTTGCAAACAAACAGACCAAACCCCAAGCAAAAAATGTAAGTTTATATTTTTATTTTCTGTTTATTGTGACATATGCGCACATATTCAAAACTTTTACAAAGTTTTTCCCTTTATCCATTTGATTTCCATCAACATAGGCAATACTGCGTTGCTATGAAATTTGCTGTGCACAATCACCATATTAATTTTGGTTATACCATGATCATTCCATTTAATTTATAGCATACGAGCAATGATACCCAGCATTGCCCAGGCCATGTCTCTTTGCTTTACTCTCCTTCAATATGCAGTTGTTTCTTTGAGATTTGATGTAAAATTCTTGTGGTTAAAAGCATTTCAATAGGTTTAAACATTTACATTCTAAACAAAGAACTTTAATGATATTGAGGAGGAGAAAACAGGTGTAATGGAGCAATGATAATCTTTTTTTTCTTTAAACTTTGATAATCAAATAAATCTGTTAGACAAATCAAGTTAAATTATTTTATGAACAAAACTTAAAAAAAACTTAAATATTTAAAAAATTTAACTGATGTCATCATTATTTCTCTATTGTTTACTTTGAAGCTGTGCTCTAAATGCTAAGGTGGTTGCTATGTAAAGAGCAAAAAATTGCTTTATATGAACTAAACAATTATAAACACTTAACAAAATGGTTGATTTTTTTTTTTTTTATATTAAAAAAAAAAATATTGGAAACAAGAAAACTATTTTTAAAAATTTGATTTTTCAAAGCTGAATATGCAAATTAGTTTCTATCAGTTTTATTATATTTACACATAATATTATATATATGCTTAATTTTAAGGGTTTCAAACACACACTTTCAGCTTTATATATTTGAAATTTAGTTTTCTGTTCCTAAGAGAAAGAACCGGATTAATTTGGACGACTTTTTGAGATTGGAATGCAATTTTTACCTAATCTGATAAAAATGTTAACTTAATACATAAGTATTAATAATACTTGCCAATATTAGGATCAGGCAGTTTCAGTAATTCATCTGTAAACACTGAAATTAGAAAAAGATTTATTGACTGGGAAATGAGGGAAATTTTGGCAAATGCCCAAACTTTATTTTATTTTTTATTCTTTCATTCACAGATGTTTTTTTCCATTTTTGTTTTTTTTCTTAGGCCCAAAAGACAGACATGTCTGCCTGGTTCAATCTCTTTGCTGACCTTGACCCCCTGGCAAATCCAGACGCAATTGGTAAAAAAGCAGATGAAATAACTGATGCCTAATTTTTGTTGCTCACTTGACTTTCACGAAAATTCCTTTTAGATAAGAAATTGATAACATCTTCACCTTTGATGACTGGATGTTCGTCCGTTGGCATGCGTTCTATGCGATGATCATGCATCACCATGTATTTTTGGGGCTCTTCTGTACAAAGAGCAGAGCTTGTTGTTTTTTACTCTGCCAACCTCTGTGTGTGTGTGTGTGTGTGTGTGTGTGACTATATGTATTGAACTTCTATTTTAGAGGTGAGCATTTGAATTTATACACACATCAGTGTGTATGTTTGTGTGTGTGTACTAAAATAATCAGTGCAAAATGTTGACATTAGAAAAATTTCAAATTTGGGATTTGAGGAAATTTTCAGTGAATTAACAACATAGAAAGAAATGAGTTGAATAAAACAAGACATCTGCATAAAAAATGATGCAATGCTATGAAATTAGAACACAACTTGATTTTGCACTAATTATTTCAACTCTGATGATATTGCGTGTCTCTTTGCTTTCTTCAAATCTGAATCTTCCATATTCATCTCTAAGATGGTAAAATTATTCCTAAAATTTCAGTTAAATGCAAATATATACTTTTGAATTTAGGAAATTAAAAAAAACTTTTGTCAGTGGCTGTCTGCATAAAAAAAAAAACATGAAATTCATAAAACCAAAATCTTTTGGTTTGTTTCATCTGATTTAGATCTTGTATGCACTTTTCTAAATTCTTTTTTGTGTCTAAATGACTTTTGGACCCTTTTAATGGAGTAAGTATCCTCAAATGGGAAGTAGTTTTGCCTCTTCTCTCATTACAACTCTTTTTACTCCATAAATTCTTCCGGTGGATGAGACCAACATTTTGCTTCATAATTTTTGTTTTTATTATTTCAATCTTTCAAATTCAGATGGAAGTGGGTATCCTCTAATTATCATTTTTTTTATTTTATTTGGGAAAGAAAAAAAAAAAAGCAGTTTCTATTTATTCATAATTACAAATCTTGTGAAAAAGGCGTCAGTTTTTCATCAGATTGGCAAGTCTTTGAAAGATGTCACCTACAAAAGTTAATACCTTTTGATGTTATTGAAATTCACTCTTCTGTTGTTCATGGTTTTAGTATTATTATTATTACTACAGAAAACAAAAGAAAATCTAACGGTCTCCATGCCAAATCAAAACAAAAAAAAACTTGTAACAGTTTCACGGGTTCCTTTTCCTCTCTTTTACAGTCCGCATATTTCTTGTCATAGACACAGAATATTTTTTTCCACAACAGTCCCAAGATGTGGCATCTTTTGTCCAACGCCCACAAAATTGGTTGCTTCAGCTGCTCCCAATTCATAAAGTCAGTCAGTTGAGTATTTGTCTATTTTTTACAGTTTTGCCCGCTTAATATGAAACTTTTGCCATTTGTGATTTGAAAAACATACCCCCCCCCTCTTCCATTTTCAAAACATTTGTTGGTCTTTTGTCACTTAGGGCATCATTGGCTCACATCTTGAGGGACTTATTTTCATAGACCTTCCTGTCCCCCCCTTCCTATTGTTGCTATCAGTTATCCCCACACTAGCCTACCCAGACAGCTATATTTTCATTGTTTTGTTTGAAAGATTTTCTATCCATTGTGCATGAAGTATGTGTGTATGCGCGGTGATGTTTTGCCAACAGCAGAGTCCATTGACTTCACATCCTGTTCTCTATGTGTACGTGAGTGCATGTGCGCATGCATGTTTGTATGTATGTATGTATGCATGCATGTGTGTGTGTGTGTGCGTGCACATGAACCAATTGATCCTAGCATCTGATCTGGACTTCAAACAAGACTCTTTACATCTGGTATTAAAAATTAATATTTATCCTTCAGTCTTCCCTTGTTGATTTTTTTTTTCTTCTGTTTCATTTTATTGTTTACCTGAAAAAGTATTAATCTACCATTTTTATATATATATATATATATATATAATATGACTGTTAACTAGTGTGAGAAACTAGTGGTAAATGGAAAAGAAAGAGTTAAAACTAAAATATAACTTGGAACAAGAAAAAAAAGATACAGAATGCGATAAACTGAAAGAAGTAAGCAGATGACTTGAAGAAAATGGATTTCTTGTCCTGAGAAAAGCCATCTGGAGAATTTACACCCACAAAAAGTTGGAGAGAGATAGAAAAGCACTCTCACTCGGTCAACAGAAATTTATTCAAGGTAAAAATAGAGGAATTTATGGTCACCACTAAAACTGCAGGTTACGAAAGCTTTTCTGGAAAAGAAGTTGATTAAAAAAAAAAAAAAAAATTGGAATTTTCAGAGACAAAGGCAAAAGTTAAAGGAACTGATTTATTTTACTTGTCAAAAAAGAAAGAAGATTGTAAACAATTTGAGAAATAGAATTTTATACCTTGATTGAAGAAATAAAGACAGGAAACAAACTTATAAGGGTCATGAGTATGATTGAGTTAATATATGGAAGTAGCGCTAACCCTAAGACAGGAAATTCTTTGGGTCAGATTTCAATGTGGTTTATAGCCAAAGAATTTCTTGTCTTTTTGTCTGCAAAGAACATTTTTATTTTTCCTTTATGGCACAGCTTCACCATGGTGTGAATTAATGCTACGATTACTGACAATTCAGTTCTTACCATTTCCATAATCAAAAAGCACAACATGGGTGAGGCAGGGCACAGAATGAGGTGGCCAACGTTCAACAATCAGTGGCCATATCAACTAGCGCTGCAATTGACCCAGGACCAACCAGCAAGAAGTGTTATAGAAATAGTCATACCCAATTAACAAACATTAAGACACACTGCTATTGCACTGATCAAGTCAAAAGATTGAATTGTGAAACTGACAGTCACTATGCAGTGTTGATCCCTATGTCTACATCACCTATAAACACTATCTCCAATATTGCCCATATTTTTCCTTATAAATATACTAAATTTTTTCTATATAGTGATAGTCACATTCTACCAAGAAGTGGCAAAATCTCTTCAATTTGGGATTGAGCAGCTATGAACAAGTGACTCAAAAGGCCTAATTCAAGCTTCACTGCAAAAAATGGCAGACAAGAGACTTGTGCATTTATTCTTAACTGTTTTTTCTGCACTCGTGTGTGACTCTTCTGCACTGCTGCTAACCCACATTGTCACAAAACTGACATTTTCTAGAAGTTGCGACTGTCAATATAGTTTGTTTGGTTACTATCATGAGATCTTAGATGACTGTTAAATCTTGTTTTGGATAAGAAGACCCAACCCCAGATGTTGCAGGTTTGCTCATGCTGAAAACCATCTGGGAATTTAGGCTATCTCCTGCTTTTTAAAACACAATTTCAAGATTGCATGATGAAACCACTTCTCCTTAAATTCTTTATAACCATCATTTACCATTTTCCTTCATGCAAATCAAAACTCTTCATGTTGAGAGCAAAAGAATTGTTTTTAACATCCTAAAAAAAAAAAAAAAAAAAATCGGGATTTTTGCACATACCAGAAAGTAACTCCATAAAATAACTGTTTGGGTCATCTGTTCTTAATAAGGTATCCTTTCATTATTGATGAGCTTTTCAATAGCAGATATATTGGTTCCTCGAAGAACTGCCACAGTGCTCCAAGATTCTCCAAAGAGATTCTTCATGGAATTAATTTCTTTTAAACTTTACCATCCAAGTCTCAGGAGCATATAAAAAGGTGAATAGAATAAAGCTTAGTGCTAATGATTAGGCCTCTATCTGATGAAATCTTTAGTTGTCCAAAGGTTTTGCTAGCCTTATCAATCCTTAGGTAGATTTGTCCCTGGAGAGGTAAACAAATGTATCCACTGAATTCAATCTTGTGTTTTGAACAAAGACATTGTGTTCAATATAGGAGTAATGTAAAGAGAGAGTGTGTACAGAAGACAGGTTTTTGTGAGATTAATGCTAAGCCCATAAGTAGAGATTGGCTGCAGAGAACATATCTATAAATTGCTTGCATGTCTTTTCCCCAAGATGATTAACAAAGTTTATGCTATGAGCATAGAGTTGCCCTTCAATGAAAGTCTGAAATGTCGATTTCACATTAAAATGTCTCAGATCAAGAACTTTAACTGTGGTTCTAAAGCATGCATAGATACATGTCAGTATCTTGGAAAACAGAAAATAAAGTTGGGGCTGAAATGTCACCTTGTTTAACTATTACCAATGGTGATTGGTTTCAGATGTATATATTTAAATTTAATATTTGTACAAAAAGTGCACATATCGTAAAACAGAAGTGTCTTATGTAAAATACAGAAGCATAAATATAATAATAAAGGTCTTTTATCCCCCCCCAATCAGGTTTCGTGCTCTTTTACAATTGTCAAGCAGCAAAGAAAGGAACTTTACATATAGATTGTTACAGAATCAAGTTAGGGTTACATTTATTGCTCTCAGCTTTTTCACCAATGGGTGAGCCAGGCATGTTGGCAGTAGTTTTGAAGTAGTAAATTTCTTGCTTATTCTGGGTTCATATTTTCACCAATAATTTATTCCTATCTACAACGGTTCTTACTGTTTACTGAAAACATTATAATCGTCCCTGCCCTGAACCAAGAGAGTTGTGCTATTTTCGTATTGTCATGTCCATAGAGAAATACATAAATAAATTATACTGTCACAGTGTCATGTCCATGAAAAAATAAATAAAAATTAATTAGTGTCAAAAATAATTATAATTCATTCATTCTTTCTAAACCAATGAAAATCAACCCCACTTTTCTCCTCCACACACACAAACATGTGGCATTCTCATTATTGGACAAGCAGTTAAACATGAACAGGTCGTCAACAAAAATTTCATCTCCTTTTTAGGCCATAATATTAATATTTACCTTTTAGCACTCAACAAAAATTCATTATCTGGACACTCATTACAGACGTCTCTAAGAAGACATGAGAAAGACTGTATACACTTTTTACTTATTCTTTATCTAATTATTGTTGGATTTCAACCCATATTTTGATCTACATTTGACCGTAAACTTAGTTTTATTC